TGTGGTCACTATGAATACTAGTGGGATTTTGTTTAATCAAAATTAGATGTCTGAATTATGCCTGTACTGTATTATCAGACGGTTCGGCAACCAAAAGACTGCTTCAGTGATTGGATTTGTGACGTGAATTGTTGGGAGAAATTAAAAAATATACCCTAGGTTTTGTATTATGATGTATAAATACATTGATAGAATATGGAAATAAGGGTATTCTTGAAACACACTGCTATTGTAACAAGAAATGAGAATGTAAGTACTGTATTTGGATGTTAGAGTACAGTAAATAAGATTTATGAAATGAAGATTTTTAACATTATTAATGAATTTAACAGATTGGGAGTTAACTGATGCATATATACTGTACTAGTATGTGTTGTTGCAAATGTTTGAACTAGCATGTATGTGTACAATGTCCTGTACTGTATTACTATATACCTATACAAGTAGCAAACCTTTATTAATATATTTTAAGTGTATAAAATGTAAACATTGAGAAAGTTCAATATATATATTCTAGTCTTTATTTTGTACATTGTCATGAACAATTTCTTACATTGCCATGAATGATCATGATCATTTTGAGTTTTCTTGGTGCCATTTACGTTCTGTTTAGCCACAACAGTGGCAAAAAATTCAAAATGAGAATGTGTTAGTAATTTTATACATTTTACTATTTTTTGGTTTTTTATATACTTTCCATCAAAATGATAGCAGATTGGGAAGAAAATACGTTAAATTATATGTTATGTGCACTCGTTAAGTGCAGCTAGCAACTTTATCCCCTTTCTGCATATGATATTAACCTGAGTTTACCTGAAGGCCACTGTCTCTAGTGGCCACAATGGGGACAGGAAACTGGGAGCTGAAAATGCACAGAACAGTACTGATACTAGCTAGCAAATGTGCATACTTTTCTAATGATGAAATTAGTGTGCAGATTATTTCACTTTCAAACCACTATTTTTTTTTTTAATCTACAGTCTCATAGCCACTTTATCTGGTTGTAACTTGGCAGTGTAAGAGTAAATTATTTAGATGCCATATTTATTTGTGATAAGTCAGATACACATAGCATAGCATAATCATCCACAAATATATCACATTACAGTACTTGCATATAATTTACTTAAAATTATTTAATTATAAATTTAATATATAGGGCAGCAGGGAAGAAAATAAAAACTATATTCATATAATAGTCATATATTATTGAATGTGACCAAAAGGGTGAGATTAATGAATCTAGCACGACTCATCCATTTCCCTTACGTTTTTCTTCGCATAAGAAGGACGTTGAAAAATTAACTCTACAAAGTTAATTTTTTAGTTTCATTTGGCCTGACGCTAAGAGTTGCATTTTGTTAACTCTTGTTAACAATGTCAAAGACAGTACGAATGATTACAAATTGTCTTGCTGCAAGACAATTTGTAATATTCATACTCTGTTTTTGACAATGTTAACAAGAGGTAACAAAATGAAACTCTTAGCATCAGGCCAAATAAAATTGTAAAAAATGAACTTTGGAGAGTTAATTTTTCAACTTCTCAAGCAAAGAAAACTGTAAAGAAAATAGATTCATGCTAGAATCATTGATCTCACCCTTTCGGTCACATTTAATAATACTGTATAGTGTATGACTATAGGAAAGACTGTTACCAAAATGTAATAATATTATATACTGTAATAGTACAGTATATATTACAATAGTAATATGTAATGCAAATTTTTTTTTTTTTTTTAGTGATTGTTTCCTTAAAGTGTATTTTTGGTTTGGATAATACAATTGTTTGTTTGTTAAAGATCATTAAGGGTCCTTCTCAAACTTTGTTAGACAGCTACATTTTTGTCAGTTCTTGTCTTTCATAGCACAAGAAAGCTTAGATTTTTTGCTTAATTTTTAGCTATAGTTGAAAAAAATTTACTAATTATTTTTTAAGGTAAACTGGTAGAGTTTTAACTCTAATTTTAACCATTTTAAAAATGGTTAAAGCAATTATTTCTATACAAGAGTACTAATTAAACTTGAGAATGTCCCTTAAATGATTCAAATATAAAATCATGTGTATATATATTCATCACTAGGTTAACAGAGTATAACAATAGTTATTTATCGAATTAAAAATAATTCATACCAAATATGGTGTTAGTGTGCCATATATTACTTCTTGAAGTTTGCAATGAAATTTTTCATACTGTATGAAGATTGAAGTACAGGTATTAAAATTATATATACTGTATAGTAAACAATTCTGTTGGTCACTTTGACCAGTTCATTGCAGCTGAAAATCACCGTAATATTCTCTTCTCTCATTCTCTCTCTCTCTCTCATTCTCTCTATTCTCTCATTCTCTCTCTATTCTCTCATTCTTTCTCTATTCTCTCTCTTCTCTCTATTCTCTCTCTCTCTCTATTCTCTCTCTCACTCATTCTCTGTCTCATCAAGTCTGGTTCTAAATATTTAATTCCAACACATATTTTAGTAATTATTTGTATCTGAGCTTGTGCCTTGTTAGGCTATCGAGACATCTGGTATGATAGTTTTACAATCTAAAAGTTGATGTATACAATACTGCTTAAGCTAATAAAAAAATGTTTATATGTTTGTTTGTTTAATTTAACTCTGTTATTGGTCTTGATGGTTAAGTGGATACCACATTTAGAAGTCTGATACAGACCATACCTTCTCAGAAGTGTGGGAAAGTTACCAAATCTGCTCACTTTGAATTATTATAATAATGACATTTGCAATTCCTTATTTGGACTCCATGATGTGGTGTTAATATTTTGAGCTTGACCTCTTGGATAGAAAGGATTTTGATGATTTGAAGGTCATTTCAAACGCCTCAACCTTGTCAACCGTGGAATGTCATAATTTTCAAGCTGATGAGAAAGTTTGCTTCCCAGTACAGTAGTGTGTCTTATGTCCCTTAATAAAATCCTCATTGAATTTTGCAGATTCTTAAGCTAGTAATGTGCATAGCATTTCAGGCAAGTCTTAATACTAACACAAGATTTCCAGTAAATCCTAAGTTGCAATTTATAAAATAATTCCTGGAGATACAGTACAACAATCAAAGATATTTTTATGTTCATGTTTTGATTTTTTACATCTAGAGCTTCATAAAAAATAAGTTGGATGTCTTCTTGAAAGGAAAAAAAACAAGTATATAATGCTATCACAATTGCCAGGTTTACTCATGCCCATGCCACCTCTTGGGTGGTTTAATCTTTATCAATCACCAGGTTTAAGAACTTTAACAGTTTAACCTCACGAGTTTTACTCAAGGCACAAAGTAAAGCAATACGAACAAACTGCTTTTTTTTATTTAATTATTTGTGTATTTATATACTGTACAAGAAGGTAAATTGGGTTTATCAGAGTACATAACATTGATATTTTTACATTCTTGCAAAACCACTAACATGCATAGCATTTTGGGCAGGTCCTTAATCCAACAGATAATTTCAAGTAGGTAATTTGTAGCAAAATTCGAAGAATGTTAATAGCTAAATTATAGTAAAATTTGAGGATGATCAACAGGTACATTGTAGCATAGTTTGAGGATTATTAATAGGTATATTGTAGGAAAATTTGCATTCAACATAACAACTTTGATATAAGTTTATAGCAGTGATTACAATGGTGAAGTTGCATGGCTTAGGTACATATATTGGGGGAGTGTGTAACACAAGTTACATTTTGAGTCTGAAGCACTAGGTAGGAAACTTTGAGGATGAAATTAGGTACTTTTTGGTTATACTTTCGAATAAGGCATAGGTTGGACAGCTTTTTAATTCATTAGGGAGTGATTTCCATAGACTAGGTAGATTTGTACAGTGTTTGCACAGATTTAGTTTGACTCGTTGGATATCAGAGTGGTATATATTTCTGGTGTGGTGATGATGGGCTCTATTCATCTGTCAAGGAAGAGTTTCAGATCAGGATTTTCATTTAGGAACAAGGTTTTGTACATGTAAATAGCACAAGAGATTGTGTGGAGTGAGTTTATGTTTAGCATGTTTAGGAATTTAAACTGAGGGCTGTGTTGTCTGAAAACTAGTTTGTTATTTTTTTCTGATAGCAGATTTTTGCTGAGTGATGATAGACTTGAGGTAGTTTGCAGTGGTTGAACCCCATGCACAGATACCGTATGTAAGATAGGGATAGATTAGTGCATAGTATAATGAGAGGAGAGCAGAGTTTGGAACAATATCTGATTTTGGAAAGTATACCGACCGCTTCCAAATAAGATGTAGTAGGTCTTTTCTATGTTTAGTGTGAGTTTGTTGGTTGCCATCCATTTATGGACTGCAACATTATTTAGTGTGTTTGGGTTGGGGTCTGAGTTGATGAAGATAGTATCATCAGCAAATAGTATAGGTTTAAGAATGTTAAGCGACATTAGGCAGATCATTGATGTATATAAGAACATTGTTTTTATATACATCAATGTTAGTCACATTGCTGTAACATGTTAGTCACAGTGTTATGTGACTAACAATTAACCACAGTACTGTATCATGTTCTGCATATTTTGTAATTCAAATTATTATTATAAAATAAACTAAATAAAGATTAGCATCAGTATTGGAGTTATTTATACTATACTGTGGGACCCCTCACTGTGATTCTAATGTTGCTAATTACCGGTAGGTAATTTGGTATCGAATATAATGGCGCTCCTGTCGCTCCTGTCACACTTCCCTCTGCACGCGTCCCCAGCGATATGTGGGCTACTGGTTTCGAACACTAAGTCATGTACACGTTTATTTTGCCTTTTTAAATCTGTTTTTGATAGTAGGATAGTTTATATTTTATTATATATGATATAATTATTTTGTTACTCCTATACAGTATTTACTTAGCTTTAGCATCTCTGGAAAACTTTATTTACTTAGCTTTAGCATCTCTAATGTACAACTTACAGATGTAACAACCTCTGCGTTTACTGCGCATTGAGTCTTAAACTAAACAATAAGAAGTTACTAACTTGTGATAGTTTGTAAGAAAAGTTAAATTAGATAATTCACAAAAATTATAAGTAAACAGGTCGGGTATTGGGCAGAGTGAGAAAACACTTAGGAGAACTTTATACTAGTAATAATAATGATAGTGGTAAGGAAATGGTTGGTAGACGTGGGCAGTGTTGGCAGCAAGAGCAATACCGCGAAAGTCCCGCGCCGCTGCTGCTCCGTGAGCACCGCTACTCGGGATTAACAATGTCGAAACAGGCTTCTATTTTCACATTCTTCTCTAAATCCCCTGGGCAGAATAAGAGCCAACATAAGGGGTCACCGAAGAACACTGTCAAGTTAAAGGGGAATGGTGAGTGAAGTTGTTGTTTACATATGTTCCTCTGGCCAGGCATTCAATGTGCTGCTGCCATATTTTATATGAAAGATTACAGAGTATAGCTCAAAAGCTAGCAATAAGTTTATCAAGTATCCCATCTCACACTATTACTTCTAATAATAATAATGTAAAATGAAATCACATTAATGTGATGTTTTGATGAAATAAGTTCATAGGTTGTTTTGGGAGTTACCCAGAACATTGGTTCGAATCCTCATGGCTCCTACCACTTTTATCAATAATAATAATTCAGTGTAGGGAGACAGCCAGCCAGTATATACATGCAGTATATAGGTATATCAAGGTTCCCCAAAGGTCGCATTAGTGACCTTTCCCCGGATGCAACCCCACAACAAGCTGACTAACTCCTGGGTACCAGTTTACTGTTAGGTGATAGGAAAAGTGTAACCATATGTCCCTCCTGGAATTTGAACCCAGAATTTTCAATTGCAAGTTGGGAATGATCCCTACTATACATGTACAGTACAGTACTACATTAAAATTCGACTGTCAACGGATTGCGTTTGTTGGGGAAATTTCACTGGTATAAATGTGTAGTACTGTATGTTTATGATTATTGTAAGTGACAACTGGAATTTAATTAAACCTTTTGTAATTTTCATCTGCACTGTAATTCAATGTTGGAGGGGTGTAGATGGGTGGCAGTTTGTGCATTAGTTTAGATGAACAGATGATTGAGTGTGTGGTATCTGAGTTGGATGAGTGTGTGTTAGTGTAGATTAGGAGACCTTTATAATGATTACAATATTTGTTATTAAAAATATTATTACAGATATTGCATCAATGGACATGGTCTGGGCAAAGTTGGATGGGCACCCATGGTGGCCTGCACTTGTGTGTGAGAACCCAGGGGATAAATCTTTCCTTCGGAATGGTCAGATACATGTACAGTTTTTTGACAACCCACCTTCTCGAGGATGGGTTAAGGAGGGGTAAGTATATATTAATTTATTTGGAATTTGGAAAGAATTTTATATAGTAAAACATTTACAAGATTCCATACACTGCTCTTAATTACTTTGAGTTGTTGAATACAAAGTATGGATACAAAATTTAGATTTTTGCAGTCAAGTCAGCTTTACAGTCCAGAATTCAATAGAAATTTCTTTGAAAGGAATAATGTTTAGAGTTTTTAGTCTTTTGTTTTTATTTCTGAATAATAAATAAATCACTGGTGCTGTCCCACCTTGAGTACTACTCGATACTCACTTTCCCCTTCAGAGCAGAAGATACTGCTGAAATAGAGATACAGAGAACATATACGGCACACATAGACATGTTAAAATATTTATATTATTGGGACTGTCTCATGGCCCCTCAAAATATATTCCCTGGATAGGAGACCAGAGAGAGGTACAGTATCACATAATATATACAGTACATGGAAAAATATTGGAAGGCTAGGTCCTAAATTTGCACAGTAAAATAACATATTGGAGTGAATGATGTGGTAGGAAATATGGAATCACAGCAAGGAAGATAAGAGGTGCCATAGACACAAAATACTGCATGAATGTCAGAGGTCCACAGATGTTCAATATCCTCCCAACAAGTATAAGAATTGATACTGGAACAAAAATGGACTTCTTGAAGAAAAAATTGGACAGTTTCTTGGAAAAAGTGCTGGACCAACCTGGTTGTAGTGGATATGTGGGCTATGGGCTACTGCAATCAACATTCTGTTGGACCAAGCCCTCACAAGTCCAGCCTGGCCATTGGCTGGGCTTGGAAAATAAAAGAATTCCCAGCACCAACTCTAGATACAATCCAGGTACCTAGAGTATTACCACCCTCTGCTCATTTCTATATACTGTAATGTATGAAAAAAATAGGCTACAGTTATTTTATTATATAGGCTACATATATGCTACAGTATAGGCTAACCTATTATATAGGTTATTTTATTATTATAGGCTACAAGTTATTTTAAGTAAATGTCTCGTATATCTTCTTTCAGGTTCGTGAAGCCATACTGTTTACCAGGAAAAAATGGTATCCCAACATACAAGGATCCAACATGGCTTAAGGCTATAGAGGAAGCTAAGGGAGCAGAGCAGCTGTCCAAAGAAGATAGGACTTTGTTACTTGTTGAGATGCTTCCTTCAGATGAGGAACCAATGGAAGATGATGAGGAAGGTGACTAAATATTAGGTTATGTGGTTTTTTGATGTCTTGTAGAGCTGTTGACCTCAATCACTTGTTAAGTATCAATGTTTCTTAAATGAAAAATTGATTGTTAATTATATTATGTATTCTTTATTTTATTGTAAGAAAATGCCCTGAATTTTGGGGGACAAGAAATGGCAATAACCTTAATATTGTTAGAATTAATTCAATGTGGCACATTGAGGTTTTCCTATATAAGGGCAATATAGAGTACCGTACAGTACAGTACAGTACTCTGTCTCCACAAATCTTCTGTCCTATAAAATGATAAAAAGAATTGTTTTCCCAACATTAAAGAAAGGTTATTTGATATGTGTTGCAATCTTTTCTACTGGATATTTTATTTAAAGTTGCTTGATTTACAATTAAAATTTAATAAAGAATAATTCAAATATAATTGCTATATGTTATTTTTTATGAAACTACAGTTAATTTTTCTTATTTTTAGATACTGATGTAAGTAAAGAAAATGTTGACCTTAATATAAGCAAGAACAAAAATAACAGCAGTAAAAAAGCTATGAATGGCGAGCCCGAGACGAAGCGAAGAAGGATAATTCTCCATTCAGACTCTGAATCCGAGGATGACTACAAGCCAGGTAAGTACAGTTCTGTAAATAGGATCTGAGTGGTCATTTGAAGTAGTAGTATAAATGCCATATGGATTTGCCTTGTTGCCTAATAGAGTGATAGAGTGATGTCTGTCATCACTCTATCACCCATGTCTAGAGTGATATTTTATGGACACACTCAGCTCTTAACCCTTAAACAGCTCCAAGTTGCTATCTGTGATTACCTCGTGTGCTTGAATCACCAAATGCAATTTCTTTACGTTAGTTTTGTCTTTCCTGCCACAATGTAGGACTTTTAAATAGTCGAGTCATTTAAGGATCAATGTGCTGCATTTTCATTTTGTTTTCTGGCTTTGTGGCTTTTGATATTTACATACATTCTATTTGTTTACACCAGCTTCCAAATATAGTAGGGAAAAGTGGAGTGCAGTTGCATGGGTTAGTAAATGTGGGGCAATAGCACACACATCTCTCATCTAGGCAGTGTTACCAACTTCCTGCATGTTCTCGTCTATCTCAAAATATTCCCTTGAAGACACGAAGGGTAATTCCTGTTGTCGGGACAGAAAGCATGTGTTTAGATTTATCGTGGTCACCCTTCCCCTAAGATGCTGCCCTCAACGGTTGTCTTAACTCCAGGATACCTTGTTACTGCTAGGTGACCAGAGGCATCAGATGAAAATGTGTCCAACAGTTTGTTCTGCCTGGGAATTGAATCTGGGTCCCATGGTTGTAATCTGAGAATGTATAATAAATAAAATGTTTATTTAGGTAAGGTACATACATACAAGAAATTTTTACAAAGATTGGTGGACTTATAGAGCTAGTACATACAATGCCTAAAGCCACTATTACGCAAAGCGTTTCGGGCATATACCACTGCTACAGGACCCTTTAATTGAAACTAAATCATAAAATGGATTGAAAGCTGGGTGTCTGCTGCCATTATTTGGTCCACCCACTATTCATCATTCAGCAACCCACTATTCATCCCATCCAAAGATTGTAAATTTACCTTACTTTTTCTAACTATAAAGCACACACCTATTTTCTTGACCAGTAAAACTAAAAGTTTGAAGGTTTATCTTGATGTAGAAAACCATAATCCCAAAAATTCTTTACGATGGCTCTATCACTGTCTCTCGCTATGTATCACCTCATACCTTGTGAACAATTTGGGCTAGCTTCATGCTCTTGGTAGAGGAGGGTTAACCGGCTTTCTTAGCCAGTCATATGTGATTGGTTCAGTCGCTAGCGCCTTTCCCTCAAATGTTTGAGCAAAACAACCTTCCAGAATATTCTCCAGAGCTCCCTGCCCTTTGGGTAATTTTCTCAGCAATATTCAGCAGCCTGTGGTCTGGTCTGGTGCCTGTAGACCCTGGCCAGCACCATCTTGTCTGGTCTGCACCAATAAAATTTTTATTTCCTCTGTTTTCCTATAAGTAACTCTTTTTACTGTCTGCAAAAGTAAATTTATGATGCTAGCAACTTGAATAACATTTTGGGATGGATCATATATCAGTGAGTTTGTAAGGCTGGGAATCAGTGGGAAAATGAGGCTGGAACCCTTCCCAATGTCAAATCGTCCTTGCAATAGCAAATAACACTAGAAAAGGCTATGAATCATATGTAAAAGCACTTTGGCTTCATTCTGGACCAAGTATGTTCTGCCGTGTCTTCCTTGCACCATTATGACTAGACATGGACACTGCGACAGTTTGCAAAGTTTGCACTAGATTCTAACCAGGGATCACTGGGTCTTGCCTTAACCCTTATATTGCGCCAGCTGACATAGTAAGGGGTGTGTTGGTGCACCAGCCGACATGTGATTTTGTGATTCTATCATAAGATTCGAAACTCCCATGAATGCAAAGGGGGGGGGGCACACATTTGCTTCATTAGGCCTCTAGTAACCATCCCCCATCTTGAAAAAACATCAAGAGTCCCCTCACTTTCCTTCCATGGGCTTAGAAACGTGGCCTAGGTTACTAAGGCCTACAAAACGTTTCACAGGCCATGGCTTTAGGAACTTGTAGGGCAGCCATACTATGAGCAACTGAAATTTTAACAGCAGCCAAAAGGTAGAGACTTTTTACTTGGATTTCCATGCTTCCTGTGAGATAATTAACGATACCCAAAAGAAAAAAATACTGTTTTTCAAACAATTTATTTTTGGTGCACCATGGGAATGTCATTATAAAAGGTGCACAGTGAAGGGGTTAAGAAGCAACTCAGTACTTCACAGAAAAGTTATGTTTGTTTACTTGTACTTTTTTTTTATCTTGAATAAACTGGTCTGCATTAAATGGCCTCTGTCCACATTGAACTGCCTCTTAAAACACCCTGTAAATAAAATGAATTTTGCATTTACAGGAAAGGATGATGTTGAAAGTGATGAAGAATCACATAGTTCTGCAGTGGATGAAAATGAAATATCAGAGCCCGAAATTGTGTCAGACATAGATTCTCCTGTCAAGGTACTGTATTTTATTTAAAGTTTCTCTTAATCTTTGATGTGCCCCCTGCTCAAATTTAGTTCTGTACTTAAGAGCCCTTGTTGGGCCCCCACCCGAAGCCACCTCATTTGTTTAGAAGCACTCTGATTGGCTCCTATTCCTAGGTGGGTTTTCCTTGACCAGGCACCTGGTTCCTGGTCATGAAGTACAACTAATGACTGTGCTCTCTTGGTTACATTTTTGCACTAAACTTGCCCCAATATTATTTTCAAGAAAATTTCATTCTTCAATCCTGTTTTATTGTCATAGTCCAGTACAGCTTTCCTTTTTAAAATTGCACCTCAGGCTACTTGACCATTTTCTCCTGATGTACAAACCTGGATTGTAGGGACTTAAAAAAAAAAACTAATGCTTTGTTGAATATACATTATTCATTAACAACATTAGATAACAATCATATAAAGAACAGGATGAGCCCGTAGTCAACTTTGTGCTAGAGCCTTCATGTGATCAGTTGACCTGATCTCCCATGTGTCAACCTGTTGAGCGAACAAGTTCCAGGTGCGAGTCAGCCTAGGAATGAATGATCACTGATGGAGTGGATGTTCTTCAGAAAGGCACTTCCAGCATGAGACAGTTGAAGGTTGGCACCTAGTATTATGGGTGTCAATTACTAGTTGTCCATGGAATTGGATAAGGTGTGGAACGTCCAAGTATGTGTGTAAACACAAGCATGTACCTTGAACTGGTATGTAAAATTTTCACTGCCCCCATACTACTTCTGTTCATGTATTAACTAATTCCTTCTTACTTCTTTTTTAAAATACAATATTTTCTTGTATTTTATGAACTGTTACTTCATACATTCATGATCATTTTATTCATTAAAGGCACCTTCAAATAAGCGCAAAAAGCCAGCAGCATCAAGTCGATGCAATTTGAATTCATCCCTTTCATCTTCTCCATCGACGTCAAAAACTCCGGCACGTGCGCCTTCAACTCCAAAAATATCTGATGGCACCAAATCCAAGCTATCATTGTTTGCTGCTAAGGAGGTGAGGCTGCATTATTAAATCAATTCCCAGCTTTGGTTATTCATTGTATAGTGATGTATGCAGAACTGTGTGTATATATACAATGTAATGTATGAAAGGTTTATGAGTACTTAATACATACGTTGTATAATATATAGCCTTATCTGTTTATAATATAGGTAGTGGTTTAAGTGATAAGTGGTTTTAAATGAGATAAGAAGTAACATCTTGAAACAAGTATAGGTGCAATGGAATGGAATATAGTCAATGTGCAAGGGGTACCTTCAAATTTTGTATTTCATCATTAGAGGCCCCTTCCCGATATAAATACTAGTGTACTGTATGTTTACGTGTACATATTTAGCTAATTTATCAATTTATGTTACACCAGAAATCATAATCTGTTTTGTTTGACTACTATTATTCTTAATTTATTTTGCTATCTTTTAGTTTGATCATATTGTTACAATTTGATTACTTCAGTATGTTAAACAATTGTCATCAAATATTTCAGCTTCTAATATCTGCACTATTTTTTTTAAAGACTCCTTCACAAGTCCAGGAAAGCTCAGAAGACTGGCCTTTCCTGAAGTATCCTTGGTTGCAACCGGAGAACATACGTGACCGGGAGAAGCGTTCACCTAACCATAAGGATTATAATCCAAGGACTCTTTATGTTCCAGAAAGCTTTCTTAATCAGCAGACTCCAGTAAGTAGCTAGGGTCTAAAATTATAATTGTTATTGCTATTAGGTATTTTATTTAAACTTATCCTTGCTGCTCTCACTTTTTCTCTTCCTCCTGTGCTTACCTAACAGTGACTGGGGGGGGGGGGGGAAGTAAGCTCTGGGTTATTTTGTTTCCATGGGTGAGATATTCGAGTTAATGTTTAACCTATCATATACTGTACCTTCAAGTTTTTTGTTTTATGGATCTTTTTTTATAATAATCAATATCCTAGCACATATTCAAATTTTGTACCAATTCTTTTTTGGGTTGGGGATATTTTAATTTTGTTTGCAGTTATTTATACAGTATTTAAATTTTTAGTCTTATACAGTATTTAAATTTTTACTATTGCACCAGTCCTTTTTGTACATGTCTTTGCAGACCTAAATTGGCTGTTTATATATTAATAATTTTTTTTCTTGTCAGGCCTTGAGACAGTGGTGGGATATAAAGTCTCAGCATTATGATACTGTTTTGTTCTTCAAGATGGGCAAGTTTTATGAGCTATTTAACATGGATGCCACACTGGGAGTGCAGGAGTTGGGCCTTATTATGATGAAGGTAAGTTTTGTATGTGTTCACCTAGTTGTGCTTGCAGGGGGAGAAGGGGGGGGGGGCTTAGCTCTGGCTCTTTGATCCTGAATGTATGTATACATACATAAAATATATACATATATAAATTAAATGTCCAACCAGAGCTGTAGCCGAAGTTTCCACCCACATAATGGAATGAATTTGGTATTGTCCCATCCTTTTTACTTATCACATGTATCTTGTAATTTAATGGATGTTTTTATTAACATTACTCTAGCAGCACTGCTGAACAAGGAACTTCAATCTTTGGTTAAAAGTCTAGACCATTTCAGAAATTGCCGTCTGTTAAAAATACAGCTGTTTTGCCTAACCAGAAACACCTGAACCCAAGCAACTCGCCTAACCAATTGTGGCTAATGCATAGAAAACATCAGTATTATCGAACTGTAATTTCTACTAAAACAATTTCAGCGGATTGGTCAAAGATAATCCAAGGGATTACCAATTTCGGCAGATAATCCAAGGGATTATCCCCTTGGATTGCATGGTGGAAAGACTGATTCTGTAATAGAAAGCTTTTTGGTCTATTACAAGGTTATATGTTGAAGAATCAAAGTATTACGTAGCAAGTCTTTTATAGATAGATAAGGTCAGAATAAATATGCAGAAAGTTGTCTTTTAATTAACCCCTTGGACTATTTAACTCCCAGTAGTCTTAGATGCAAGAGAACATTGGTATGGATTGTGTCAATGGCCTTTTCAACCAATAATTTCATGAACAGTGACATCCTGAAACATCCTGACATCCTGAAACATTCCCCATCCTGACATCCTGAAACATAATACAGGGTACAAAACACAATCGAATCTTCCCATAGTAGGAAAACAGCATGTCAAGGATTTGGGAATAATGATGTCCGACGATCTAACGTTTAGGGAGCATAACCAAGCAAATATCGCGTCAGCCAGAAAAATGATCGGATGGATTACGAGAACTTTCAAATCCAGGGATCCCATCACAATGGTTGTACTCTTCAAGTCACTTGTGCTGTCCCGTCTCGAGTACTGCTCAGTACTCACTTCCCCCTTCAGAGCAGGAGAGATTGCTGAAATAGAGGGAATACAGAGAACATATACGGCACGCATAGACGAGATAAAACACCTAAATTATTGGGATCGTCTCAAAGCTCTCCAAATGTACTCTCTAGAAAGGAGACGAGAGAGATACCAAATAATATACACCTGGAAAATACTGGAGGGTCAGGTCCCAAATCTACACAGTAAAATAACAACGTACTGGAGTGAACGATATGGAAGAAAATGCAAGATTGAACCTGTGAAGAGCAGAGGTGTCATAGGCACAATCAGAGAGCACTGTATAAACATCAGGGGTCCGCGGTTGTTCAACGTCCTCCCAGCGAGCATAAGAAATATTGCCGGAACAACCGTGGACATCTTCAAGAGAAAACTGGACGGTTTTCTAAGAGAAGTTCCGGATCAGCCGGGCTGTGGTGGGTACGTGGCCCTGCGGGCCGCTCCAAGCAACAGCCTGGTGGACCAAACTCTCACAAGTCGAGCCTGGCCTCGGGCCGGGCTTGGGGAGTAGAAGAACTCCCAGAACCCCATCAACCAGGTATCAACCAGGTATCACAGTAATGTGATGCATCTATGAGAAATTATTGAGGCAGATTCAATCCCATCGTATAGCCTCATTATTTTCTCAAGTTCATGAACTTTCAGTGTGGTTGGGAACCTTGTTGTAGAGAAAGTGATCCAATATAAAATGAAATCATAATAACATAAAATATCTATGACCCAATTTTTGAAGCAGGATGGTGGAATCAAACCATCGTCCTGCTCCAAAGATTTTGTGTGTTGACATATGGCCTTTAATTTCCCTAGTGATTGTTCTTTTTTTTTCTTTTTTTTCAGGGAGAAAAGGCTCATGTAGGCTTTCCAGAAATTGCATATGGACGTTATTCCTCAACTTTGATAGACAAGGGCTATAAAGTTGCACGAATTGAACAGACAGAAACTCCAGAAATGATGGAGAAGCGTTGCAAAACTTGTAAGTTAGACTATTTGTTTAGTAAAAGACAGTATATACAATTTTGTATATGCTTTTGAGAACTGGCTGCTTGGCTGGCCACCCACCATCCTGACTCACCCAGCCAGATCCTTCCCCTCTTCATTATTTCTACATAATCCACTCATCCATTAAAGTTTTTGCTAAAAAATGTAGAGACAAGACCTGGCAGGTGAAGCAGAATGGTAGACGGCCACTGCTCATCAGCCAACCATTCAGCCACTCCTAAATATATTATCAAACTTTATGAATGAATTTATAAAATTGTGTGGCTGGATTGATTATATGGAAATATTCAGTGATGCAGAAAACGAGTTGTGTCAGTTGTAAGTTATACAACTTACGAATAATAAAAAAAATTTATAAAAAATACGTAACAGGAGGAATGGTTTATTTTATTATTTAAAATACATTGAAGTACCTATTTTTTTAGGGAATGTTGCAGCAACCTCTCTCTCTCCACTTTACAATTACCCCACTGCCAATCCTTGCTTCATAAGACAATATTGGGAAAAATTTATGTTTATATGCGACAATTAAATATTGTTTATGATATTTGTGTTAATAGGCAACATGACACAGCACTAATATTATCAACTACAGACATGTACACAGCCAGATTTATGGCAGTAATGGCTGTCAAATGCTACTGTTAAATTGTAGTAATATTCCTTCACAGTTGCTGTCATTTACATGCTTGCATTAATTATAATATTTCTTCCATGTTTCACTATATAATATTGGCATATGTGGTCAGGATAAGTTAAAGCTATTTTTTGTTATTTTTCTTGGGTTGTGCAGAAACTTTTCACTTAATGGGGATGGCAAACTGGATAATGGGGGGGGGGCACCTTTATTGAAAACTTAAGCATTCCAAATTCATTGTGTGACCTGATATGGTGGCTTCTTACATTAAGCAAGATGTCACCATACCAGGTTACACAAGGAGTTTGGAATGCTTAAATTTTCAATAAAGGAGCCCATTTCAGCCACGTTATTGTGACTCTTCGTCTGTATACTGTATATGTATTATGCATACACACATTGTTAAAGGTAGGATATCTGTGCACAAATTTAAAATAAGATTCATTCAACAGTGAGTCGTCCATCAAAGTTTGACCGTGTTGTGCGACGTGAAGTGTGCCAAATTAGTAGTAAAGGAACTCGCGTGTACAGCTTCTTGGATGGAGAAGCCTCAGAAATCTCTACCTCCTACCTCTTGGCTCTTACTGAAAGGGTTAGTTAATTAGTACTGTATTTTATTATTTTAATATGCTCTTTTAATATTCATATTAATTATTTATACACAGAAACACATGCATGCATTAAAATTTATGTGTGGGTATAAAGTCACTGTTTCTTTCAGCCTTAATCTAAGAATGTAAGCATAAAGGAAACTGCAGATTTATTAGCTTATACAAGGCAAATTCTATATAAATTTACCTAAACTCCTTCATATAATGTATATGTGTTACCTCCTACACTGGAAATCATCTAGCATTCCCACATCTGTTATATTACCCAGTAATTTGTTTCATAAATCACAATCTTATATCCAAACTAGTATTTAACCCAGGTCTTTCCTGAATCTAAACTTATCCAGTTTGTCTTTTGTTCCATGTTCTATTTTGTGCAGATGTATATAAAAAAAATATATATCCACCTTTGTTATACCCTTTCATTCATTTATTTACTTAGTCATATCACCCATTACTCCTTTCTATAGAATGTAAATTATGCTTTCTTAACCTCTCTTCCTAAGGAAAGCTTGTAATTTCTGGGATTAACTTTGTCATTCTTCTCTGTATATTTTCTATAAAAAAAAAGAAAAGAAAAAAAAAAGCATTTCATAGTTGACGTTACTCCGCCTTCTTTGGAGCTCACATGATCGCTGGATAAGATTTGGGGTCTCTTCTTCCTTTGAAAATCTTTCCTTAAAAGAATCTTATCTTGACTCAGGTGATGAGCAAATGGGTTAGTGAACTTTATATTCTACACCGTTGGTTTAGATTGGTTTTGTTTGGTTGTAGTGCTCTTGTGCATTCATCCCAACCCTTTTTAGTCAAGAACAAAACTGAGGCTTTTTAGTGAGAATCTGTCTTGAGTTGGGCCTAGTTACTGCATACTGTACTATGATGCACCATAATCTTATATCCTGCAGAGTCTTAACACTCAACTAAGCTTGTCCACAGCCCCTTAATCTCCATAGGGTCACTCACATTTTTAGTTTTTAGTTTTTTTATATGTATAGATATATTGATTTGTGCTGATGTAGCATTGGGTTTTTGGAAGCCCGTTTCCCTCCTGACACAATGTTAAACTTGAATAATCTCTTATTTTATTTACATTTTTTCTTACATTGGACATTGCTATCAATTTATAAATGTGTTCTTTCTGTTAAGCTCTCCAGCATTATCCTCATGCCATTTTGTACACCAGTGTGTTTATGTATTGAAAAGTATTTTTATCTTGATTCTATTCAAATTGAATAAATGGCAGGCAGGCAGGACAAGGAGTCATTAGCATTTGGGCTTCGAATAGGTTTTTTCCCTAATATGTGTATAAGTATATATTTAATGTAATGTATATTGAAATAAAGATTTAAATGTTTCACAGCCTGTCCGAGGAACTGGCGATGGCAGCGAGTTTGGTGTTGCCTTCATTGATACCAGCTTAGGAATATTTCATGTGGGCCAGTTCACAGATGACCGTCATGTGTCACGGTTGAGCACTTTAATGGCTCATTATCCGCCAGCTCAGGTAAGTTGGAAATGCAATACTTTTCAATTAGATATGAATATTAACACACAGAAATCACAATAGCGTGATGCATCAAATGAACAAATCCACAAGGAATCATCCCAGGAATAAGTTCGAACCCTCATCACGTCCCTTGTGGATTTGTTTATGAATATTAAAATCCAAAGATGACAAAGAACTCTATATAAAGCAAAAGTTTGAAATTTTGGAAGACACTGTAGATAACATTGTGGCACTAAACTAAAATTCTGGAAGATGCATATAATGAGGCTTTAAACCAATTAAACAAGGAAGGGCTTTTTTCGTTGTGTATTCACCCGGTAAAGATTAAAGTTAGAATAAACAGATTATTTTATAGGAAAACTTAATAAAGTTCGGTGTATTAGAAAAGAGTATACAGAGACGGTGATAATGCGCTATACAGTAATTCTGCTTAAATTGAATAAATTTTTTCTGGCCATTGCTATTGCATCATGTTTTCAATTGCATAATATCTATGCTATTTTGGTGATATTTGTTGTGGTTATAAAAACACAAACAGTATGACACATTTGGTTATTTCTTATTTAAATACTGAGTAGAAAATAAATTTGTATGACTGTTCCAATAACTTGGCTATATCAAAATCTGAATCAGTGGTTAAAATGTTGAATTATTAATTTTTTAACCATATTAAACCATTACTGTGTTTAAGACATTTGCCTTAGTTGTCCTGTTCTATGAAGAACTTGGGGCTTTAGTATCATAGGATATTGCAGTCATATCAGGCGCCCAAAACTGATAATCAGGACCAGAAAGTGATTCCCTCAAAGTGACGAGGGGAGAGTACATTGGTACAGTGTCCCTGGGACCCTGCATTTCTGTAAATGGAAGGCATACATTTCTTATTCAGGAGAGTAGTAATCCAGGTCTCAAAGAGTCCTATAGTTGATATTTAATTGTTCTTTAATAAACTATAAATTTGCAGATTCTCTTCGAACGAGGGCGACTTTCACAAAAAACACAAAAATTAGTAAATTCAGCCGTGCCTTCAAGTTTACGAGAGAATCTAGCTCCAGAGAAGGAGTTCTGGACAGCCAGCAAGACCCTTAGCTTCCTTGCAGAAGGAAATTACTTCAAAGATAAGGAAGGCGATTCCAAAATAAGGTGGCCTCGAACTCTGAAAAAAATGATGGATGACAGTAAGCAACATATTAATATATATATTAATATATATTAATATTTATTCATATTCTTAAATTAATCTTGCATATGGGCAGAGTGTAAAGAAGCATGACCAAACATCTTCCCCCTGCCTGGAAATTGAAGACAAAACCCAGTTTGCTTGTAATGTTTCCTATATAACAACACATTCTCCTGTTTATATAGTACTTTTTGTTACTATGTAGACCATTGTATACACAGATGTAATAGACAATTAGATAGTATAGTTTGGTACTACTGTATTCACTTTTATAAGAGTCCAGAAAAGTAAAGCTAAAACCCAACTTAAATATTCTTATGTCTAGTATAGCACATGTACTATGTTAGGTCTCAGATAGCATTTATTAGCTTAGGATGGTTAAGTTATGTTAAGTTTTATTAGCAACTTAAATACAAAACCTTTTACAGTTTGTCCAAATTCAGTAGTACTAAATTCTACTTTCTAATTACCCATTACATCAATATATGTATGATTGACCACGGCATTACTGCAAGTACTATCTAAACTGGAGGACAAGCTGCTATATAAGTAATCTTCAATAGTTTGTGCTAGTGTGCATAAAAATGCTATAGTGTTTTCTAAATAGTTTTCAAAGCTGATACCCCTTTCACAAGAATTTTGTAATTCGCAGGTAACTCGTTGGGCACTACAGCTTGCCCTGAGTATGAGCTTGCGGTGTCTGCTCTTGGTGCACTCACGTATTATCTTATGGACTGCTGTCTGGAGGAACAGCTACTCACAATTCGCAAGTTTGAAGAATACAACCCTCTTGATGCAATGACTCCAACGGGAGACAAGAAAAGCCCATCTATTCCTGCATTCATCAGTGGAAGGCATCATATGGTTAGCTGTTATCTGATGAGTTTAGCATTCTTGCTATATCTGCATCCATTAATGAAATGCCATTCTTAGGTACATTGAAATACGTCACAATCTTAAAATAAGAGTCCCACAATTTGGTATCACAATGAAATAAAAACGTTTACCTATGCCAGGTTACTTTTAAATATTTTTCCATGTGAAAGTTACACTCAGGATTTATAAAATACATAGTTTGTTCAGTTAGGTTTGTACTTTCCAAGCTAAAGCTATTGTGAAAATATTTAATTTGGTACCAGCTCGGCACTTTTAAATTTCTCATGGGCTCAGGAGGATTCCATGTTGTGTAACTTTTAGCATATCGTAGTCCATTTGTTAACATGCGGGTTTAGGGTGTCCCTAGGATGCTGGTTCTATTCTGCCATCCTCCTCCAAAGATTTTCTCAGATATATCACATTATTATGATTTGATTGTATATTTAAGCTTTTGTTGTCATACAGGAAGTCCAATAATAAGAAAAACTAGGTAAAATTACATTTGAATGTCATGCATTTTAATCTGTAAAAATTTCAGGTGCTTGATGGGATGACACTTGGCAACTTAGAGGTATTTGAGAATACTTCAGGTGGTACTGAGGGAACTCTCTTTGACAAGTTGGACTGCTGCTCAACTCCATTTGGGAAGAGGTAAGCTTTGTGATGGCAAGGAATTCAGGTGACAGCATGTGAATCTTTTTTCTTGTATATAAGCATGACACTGGATGTCTCATTAATCACACTAATACAATGCTTTATCCTCCTCTTATGTAAGTATATCTCAACCTATATTTCAGATTGCTTCGTAAGTGGATTTGTGCTCCTCTCTGTAATCCAAAAAGCATCAGTAGCCGTTTAGATGCTATAGAAGATCTGCAAAAAAATCCTGATGTAGTGGAGGAGGTAACAGCCCTCCTCAAGAGTTTGCCTGATCTAGAGAGGGTTCTTGCCAGGTAAGCTAGAAGAAGCCTTGAGAAAGCATTGTTATTATCATCATCATTATCACTACCACTGTGTGGTACAGGTCTGTCTGTCTTTTCTTACAGGCCTGAAAGTTGCATAAAGATGAGAAAATGCTCTGAATTAGTATACATTTGACATAGAGTAATTGTCCCTTTCAAGTGCTATATAGTCATTCTGGCTTAGTGCTTTCTTCTCATAATTGCCTTATCTTACCTTGACATAAAGTAATGCCAGATGCTTTACAGATGTAGCAATTTAATGAGTATTTTAAGCTAATTGTATAAACAATTTGTATTAGGGTATTTATTAATCAGTATTTTTGCATCATAAAATTTGATGAGCATGTGCCTAGGGGTCATGCAATGTCTACATAAGTACTTTTTATGATATTCTTGTTTTCTTGTAAGACTTTGTTTTGTTTGTGTCTAAGAAATGTTTGTTTTTTCCCAGAATCCACTCTCAGGGCTTGAACCTTAGCTCAAAGCACCCAGATAGTAGAGCTATATTTTTTGAAGATGTCAAATATAATAAAAAGAAAGTGGTTGACTTTCTTTCTGGACTAAATGGATTTAAAACTACTCTTCAAATTCTGAAAGCTTTTAAAGGTATGTCTTGAATTCCTTATGAATCTTTAATTCACCTGTATGTTTTACCTTGGATTGAAGGGAGGGTTGTACATTTTCCTTCCAGATTTGGAACTTGATTGCTTTTGGATGGGGACATGATGGAAAGACATTTACATATTTTTTCTTTAGTGGGGCAACATGATTTTTCTTTAAAGAATTTTGGCATGTGCTAATTGTATAGGAAATGTCATGGCACAAGTATTTAATTTATTGATATATGTTAATTTTACTAAAATCTGACTTTTTGGGGGGCAGAGATATTAGAAAATTAACCAAAATTATTTAGCTGTTTGATAAGACAGACTTGTCTGCTAAGCCAAGTAGTGCAACTCTGGCTTATAATGTTCAAATGATCCTGATTTTTTTTCCCCTCTCAAACAGGCATTAGCTCTACTCTCCAGTCGAGTTTGCTGCGCAAATGTGTGACGAAAACGAAAGATGGCGGGAATTTTCCAAGTTTAAGTGATGCTTTACAGTTCTTTGATGTAAGTCTGTTTTCACAATTCTTTATTTTTTAAATCACTGCAGGGAGAAGGATTTTAATGCTACATTGAATGATGATCTTTCTTGAGGGTGATGTAAAGGGGGAGCTAGCCTGAAGTACAATCTTCAGACATTTTAAATGTTTACAACTATTTGACTTTAATAAATAAAGCAGTTGACAGTAGTTAGCAGTGAGAAACGGAAACATGTACTCACCTAGTGAGAATGTTATGAAGAGTGCCTAGGTAAGCACCAAATATTTTATGGAAGTTTGGAAAGACAAGTTAAAACGTTTGATTTAATCATATAAACTGTTAAATTCACTTAAACAAAAAAAAAATATATATATATATAGTACTATATAATTGAACCATTTTTAAGTTAACATAATTTAACTTATAAGACACAATTACTTGTATAGGTAAACAATCTAGAGAACTCGTGAAAAAGAATATCGCGTGCAGGTTTATATATTATTCTTGCCTTTATTTATAATTTCAAATAATACTAGCAAATATCTGCAATTAGCTTTGTAATGGTGCCTGTAAACCATCACACAAGCTGTAAACCAGGGAGCTACTGAGAGGCCAGCCTAGAAAAATATGTAGGCTGTGATATTATCTGTGCTGGCCCACTTTGAATACTGCTCGATACTCACTTGTCCCTTCAACACAGGAGAGTGCTGAAATAGAGGAAATACAGAAAACATATATGGCACACAGACATGAAAAAACACCTAAATTATTGGGACCATTTTTCAAAATGTACTAGAAAGATGAGATATGTTGCTTAATATGTACATGGAAAATGCTGAAATGCCAGGTCTGAAATTTGCACAGTATAACAACATACTGGAGTGAATGATATGGTAGGAGATGTGGAATATAGTTAATGAAGATTAGAGGTGTCATAGGCACAATCAGAGAGTACTGCATGAACATCAGTGGGTCACAGTTGTTTAATATCACCCAGCAAGTATAAGAAACATTACCGGAGCAAAAGTAGACCAGTCCAAGCAACACTGGTGGTCCAAGCTCTCACAAGTCAAGCCTAGCCTCAGGCTGGGCAGAATAACTCTTAGAATCCTCTTAGTACAATCCAGGTAAGTATTACTTTTATTAGTACTATATTTTGTATGTTACTCCATGCATAAATATTTTTATATGGTAATTTGTATTATTTACTAGTATACCAATATTAATGTTAATAATTTTCAGAACGCTTTTGATCACGAAGAGGCACAGAAGGAAGGTAAGATAATCCCTAGCAGCGGTGTTGATACTGAATATGATGGAGCCTGCGAGCAAATCAAGATAACGAAAGATAAACTTTCAGATTATCTCAAGGATCAATGCAGATATTTTGGTACCAAGGTAAGGGAAGAAGATATATTTGAGTTTCTAGTTTCACATTAAAAATCTTAGAAAGGATTTCTTACAAGCACAGTAACAGATTATATACCGAGTGAATGAATCTGAATAGTTCAACAGATGTCAGAAAAGTTGAACAAAATATTAGGAAATATTTTATAACTATCTTATTAATATCTGATTATTAACATTTTTCAAAAGCAAAAAAAGTTTTCTGTAATCATCACAATGTTGCCAGTCATGTTTAGTGAAATCAAAACAATGTGGTATGTTATTGAGAATATTGAAACCAAATAAAGGGATTCAATCCACATCCCTGAACTAGCCAGTCACAGTATTTACAGTACATTGATATGAGTCATGTACTGTGTATCTATTAAACATTCACAACTTTACAGTGTCTTAGCACTACTTAGACATGGATTCCAGAGTGACCTGCCTAGATTACCCCAATGCAGTATGCTAGTATTTTGGTTGGTTGAATAAAGTGCAAAGAGTAAAATTTAATAAAAAATAATAATTAAGAATATTGATTTGATTGAAACATCCAGTTGATTCTTACTACAGTATATCTCACTTCAACCTATTCATATTTTTATTAATGTAACACTGATTTTTATTATTTACTATCTGCAATTAGGTAATGTACTGGGGTAATGATAAGAAGAGATATCAACTGGAAGTGCCAGAGCATGTATGTAGAAAAGCTGGTAACGAATATGAGTTACTGAGCCAAAAGAAAGGTTATAAGCGATTCGGTACACCAACCACTAAAGAATTCTTGGCAGACATGATTACTGCAGAGGAACACCGTGATGCAGCGCTTAATGATATTGCACGTAGGATATTCCATCAATTTGACGAACAGTAAGTAGGTAATATTTTAATTTGTATTTCTACTTAAAAAAAAAACAGCGTTGAATGTAATGAAACCCCATTTTCTGGGTGAGTCCTGGAGGCTCCCCAGAGCTTGAGGGGCTCCCCACAGAAAGGTTCATTGTAATGCTTTTATATAAATAGATATGTACTGAAGGGATACCTTATAGTTTTCACTTAATTTTTTTTTTTATTTTGGGTGTCTGTTGCTATATTTGGACAATGCTTTCACTTATAAACTTGAAACTGGTTGGATTAATGAAACTGGTGGTGCATGGACAATGACTGTTGTTATTGGGTCATTCAGGTCCCATGTGACAGATTCACAACAGCTTAAATACTTCAGCGATTAACACAATATCATTTCTAGTTTTAAGTTCAGTATCTCACCTATTGTTGCCATTAAAACTACTTGCTATCACCACCACTACACATACAGCATTAACACTACCATCACTACAACTGTCAATTTCATCACCATTAAATCTGCTCACTGTCACCACCCATTACAATCGCCTACATTTATAGCAATACAATTGAAAGGACAGATTAAGGAAATTCAAATTAAAAGTCCTATAGGAAAGTGGAAAGATGATCACTACATACAAAATATTGGGGGGTAATACAGTGTGTGGACAAGAACAGTCTCATTAAATTAAGAAAAAATAGAACAAAAGGACATTGATGGAAACTGGGAACATTGAAGACTAGACAGATTTGATGAAATACTTGTACTCTATATGGGTGGTCAACAAGTGGAATGCACCGAAAGAAGTTATAGAACCCACCTCCATCCACGACAAAAAAATACAAAAAATATCAAACCTAAAAAAAATTAAAATATCTGCAAATGCACCAGTTGCTATGTGGCTGGAATACTTCAGCAATTCAGAGACCTTCTTTAGATGTTTCTAATACTGAATCCAAACATTTCAGTCAGTTTTAAGATTATACCTGAGACCATGCCTTGTATGAAACTGGATTTTACATGAATAGATATAGAGGTAATTTTTAAATATAAATTTATTTTCAGTCATAAGAAATGGGAAGCAGTTGTGCAGTGTGTATCAGTACTAGATGTCCTGATCTCTCTATTACGTTATTCTGAGGCTGCTAATACTGTTAAACCAGAAATCATCATGCCAGAAGATAGTGTTCAGGTATGCTCTACAGAGTATATTTATGTTCTTTTGAGCTTATAATGACAAAACCAAGGGATTTTTCCCTGGCATTTTGGGTTCAAGAATATTGCATGTTACATTGATATATATACTTGTTCGTCTTTAGCTTGTATGTGGTTTCTTGCCAATATATTTGTGCGTTCATACAAAAATAGAATTACACATATTTCTAGCACATGGATCTGTTAAAATATAAAATTTTCCAAAAAGTGACTTCTCATTATGCACAATTTTTTACTTCATTATTCTGAATTTTATTTATCTGAATACCCAAAGGTACCAATTTGTTCTAGATAATCGAGATGACTCTTTACTACTGTCGATAGTTTTCTAATAAATATTTGTACTGTACTAGTTTCTTATTCAGCATGTTCTCTCATTTTGCCGCTATAAAAATATAGCCGTTTAGATTAACCAGAAATGTATGAACATAAGCAACCCACCTAACCTGTTCATGCTGATGCATTGAAAAATGTCAACATTATGGTGCTTTAATGTTTGCTAGTACAATTTAGTAAAATAAAATATGATGTATTAGGTGAAGGTATGGGTCGTCTCATGATATGCTACTAAGAGTGGAAGGTATCATTTAACCTTCTCTTTACGCAACACTTTTCTATTATCTCGGTGCAAGTGCCTTCACATTCCATGATAGTGGCAAATACAGTAGTTTAATGTCATAAAAGGGGGATCTTGACCATAGGCATTGTGATGATTTTACCAAAAAGTATATAAATGTTTATTTTCTTTGTAAATAATAATAATAATAATAAAAAAAACATTCCAGCCTTTCTTAGAGATCAGAGATGGCCTTCATCCATGCGTGACGGCAACATTTAGCGGGGATGAATTTATTCCTAACGATTTGGTGGTGAGTGGTGACAGCAAAGATGCTCATTGTCCCATGGTGCTGGTCACAGGACCAAACATGGGTGGCAAATCAACACTTATGAGACAGACTGCTCTTATATGTCTTATGGCCCAGTTGGTAAGTAATTTTCAGGCTTTTTTATTGCTCTGTGTGGAATTATATAGTAATCTAATCATATTTTTCTATATGAATTTAAAAACAAAACACTTGGCCTTACAATAGCTATGTACTGGTATGGAGTTGTACACCTTGCTGTTTTAAGGCACTTGAGGTGTTCTGATGTTGTTAAGCACTGTAGTACTGTGGTGGGTGCTGCTGGGTATTTTAATATCATGGTGGCTGCTTGTGGGTCCTGTAGTACCCCCAGTGGCTGCTCCTGGGTCCTATAGTACCCCCAGTGGCTGCTCCTGGGTCCTATAGTACCCCCAGTGGCTGCTCCTGGGTCCTATAGTACCCCCAGTGGCTGCTCCTGGGTCCTATAGTACCCCCAGTGGCTGCTCCTGGGTCCTATAGTACCCCCAGTGGCTGCTCCTGGGTCCTATAGTACCCCCAGTGGCTGCTCCTGGGTCCTATAGTACCCTCAGTGGCTGCTCCTGGGTCCTGTATTAACTCCAGTGACCAGGGCCAGAGCCTAGTGTGTTCATATACGCAAGGAGAGCATGATGATCTGAGATCGACCCAAAACAGAGTTAAACAGCCCAGAACATACTGGTGTAGCAAAGCAAAGAACATACTGTATTTTGATGAGAGAAAAGATGGAAATATGGGAAATGGTAGTGTGTCCAATGTTGACAAATCACCTAAGTGCACCACCAGGTGGCTTGACCCTCCCCCCTCAGTCACGTACTACTCCCAAGATGCACCTGCTCTCTACAGGAAAGGAGGGAAGGTATGGAGAACTATCGAGATCCCCAAGTAATTTCATGGTGTACACTACCAGTGGTGCCTTGGAGAGGAAACTGTTTTTAGATTGAAAGAACTACATTAATATAGGAACAAAGATAATGAGACTAACCCATGGGGTGAGAAGGCTAGAAACTGAGGACTTGGGGAAGTAAGCTGCACTATGTGGTCTTGGTGGCAGCAAAGTGCCAGCCCACTTTGAAGGCAATATAAAGCCTTAAGCCAAATTTGGTCCAACAAAAAGACCATACAGGTGAACTTTAGACAACCAAAAAGATGCTAGAAGTCCCAGTGGGATAAGCTTACTTGATTCTGTCTGTGCTTTCAAGTAGTGTCTCATCTCGGTTTGGGGTTGATTTTGGATTCGTAAGCTCCCATCACATTGCGAGCCAGATTCCGTCATACCCTATGGTAGGCAACGGATAGGTTCTCAAAGGCCTGGTGTGTGGAGGTAAGGCTTGGTGGTAATACCAGTGTATAAGCTTGAAGAGCTACTAGGGGTCCACCAGAAAAGGGCATTCCATTACAGTTCTGTGCTTGATTCTTTTTATTGTCAGAAGTTGTTTTCATTTTTGACATGTTTAGCAAAATTAATTTAATCTAAAGTTATGTTTTGGGTTGCTTAATTTTAATTTTCCTTAGGGATCATTTGTCCCTGCAAGCTCATGCCGACTGACACCAATAGATCGAGTGTTTACCAGACTTGGTGCATCTGATCGGATTATGATGGGGGAATCAACATTCTTTGTTGAGCTGGCAGAGACTTCTTCCATTATCCAACATGCTACCCAACATTCACTTGTTTTAGTAGATGAACTAGGTCAGTATTGAGATGTCTTCTCAGTTTCATTCATTTCTTGTCTCTAGTAATTGAATATATTTGACAGGTTGTGTGTGTCAGGTGTTTAAGAGATATAATAGTGTAATTTGATTTGTTCACAATAATTATTATAATAGTAATAATAATAAAATAGTGTGTGACATTAATGCAGTTATGTTTAAATATGAATTATGCATTGTATTTATAGTAAAGAATAAGTGATAATGAAGAGATCAGATATGTGGTTCTAACATGAACTATCACCTTTCATATGTGTGTCAGAACACAACACATTATTGCCATCACTTTTCAGTATTTCTCTGTGTAAAAGATAAAAATATATAAAGCTTTTGTTTTCCTTAGGTTAGCAAGCTAAAATTGATTGAAGGCTACTTCCGTCCACATTAGGCTGTATATATAGTGTCATCCTAGCACATCTAAGCATCTAGTGCTGTTTAGAGATAAATCATTTACAAATCATCATTAAATAGTCATGATATATGCATTTAGGTACCTGATGACTAAACCACACACCAGAAGATGAGATGACATTTCGGTCTGTCCTGGACCATTATCAAGTCGATTGTGGTCCAGGACGAACCGAAACGTCGTCATCTCGTCATCTTCTAGTGTGTGGTTTGGTCATCATATCTTCAGCCACGTTATTGTGACTCGCCATCTGCGTTCAGGTTCCTGTTAAATTAGATATTCTAACAAATGAGGAGATTCAAGATGTTCTGAGCCAGGCATATATGTAAACTGAAAGGTCTTTGGCAGTACATTTGGTTATGGTTCATATATTAACAGAGGTAAAACACATTACTCTGTAATTGTTTCAGAACATGAAAATTTGTCCACACAAAATTGAGAGATATAATTAACAATATTAATTAACCATAAACACTAGCAGGGTCATTGTGCATAGTCACAACTATGTACATCATATTGGTATATTCCTCACATACTCGGAACTTGTTGGTTAAATGCTTAGGTTTTCATAAATGCTAGTAGTTATTTTAATATTTTAGTAGTTATTTTATTTTCACAGTTTATGGAATTGGTATTGTAATACAATTTATATATAAAACAAAATCCAGTCTATCTTAGCACTTTTAATTTTATATCTTGAAAACAACATTTTTTTAATACAGCGTTATTCAGTTTTCATCTCAAGTGTGATCATTTTTTTCTCTCAGGGCGTGGTACAGCAACCTATGATGGTACTGCAATAGCATCTGCGGTAGTGGATGCACTGGTTGAGCGTAAATGTCGAACACTCTTTTCAACTCATTATCACTCCTTAGTTGATGACTTTGCCAATGTAAAACATGTTTCTCTTGGTCATATGGTAAGTTATTTATTTAATTTTCTGCCTCTTAATTACCCATTATATACTTTGTGATTGTTGGTGAGAACACTTGGGCTTTTCCAGAATATTTTTGTTGGTTGTAGATAAAAGTTGGTAGGCAAACTAATTCTATTATCACACAGCCTATGGGTCTTAAATTGTAGGGTAAGTTTGTATTTGGCTTAGAAAAAGTAACAAATTAGCTATACATGTTAAACTTTAGCTTCCCAGCAGACTCCAGAATGAAATTTTTTACTATGCAAAGGGGTTTCTACCTGTCTGTTAAAGAATCAGGAGATCAATGTCCCCACAGCCTGGTGCCTGGTCTGGCCTTCAGGTTGCTGGTCTCATCCACCAGTCAGTTTGATGTGGCTGCTTGCAGCCTGACATTTAAGCCTGGTTGATCAGGTATCCTTTGAAGGTGCTTGTTGAGTTCTCTTTTGAACAGTGTAAGAGGTCAGCCAGTTATGCTTCATATGTGTAGGGGAAGTGTTGAAAAGTCTTGGCCCTTTGATGTCGATTTTTTCTGTGTGCCTATTGCGCCTCTGCTCTTCGGTGGAGCTATTTTGCACATCCTGCCATGCCTTCAGGTCTCACATGGTCTTATTTCTGTGTGCAGATTTGGAACTAGTCCTAATATTTTCCAAGTGTAAATTATCATGTATCTTCCCGCCTGCACTCTAAGAAATAGCGATTTAAAATTTTTAGGCTGTTCCAATAATTTAGACGTTTTATTGAGTAGTTTGTAGCAGTAAGTCAGCAATTTCTCCAGCTTTGAATGAGGTTGTTAATGTGCAACCATATTCCATCCTAGAGAGCCCTAATTTCTTAAAAAGTATCATCATTTGTATGGCATCTCTTGTTTGGAAGGTTCTTGTTATCCAACCTGTCATTTTTTTTGCAGTTGTGACAGCAACTTTGTTGTGTTCTTTAAAAGTAAGGTCTTCTGACATGATTACTCCTAAATCTTCTACATTACTTAATCTTTCAATAGTGTGATTTCCATGATTTGATTGATTCTGTCAGGCTCAACAGCTTTTGGCACAATCAGCTCCAACTGATTCCTTTTGATCTCATCACTGGTTAGATCAGATTCCTCCAAGGTTGCTTGGTTTGCCTCCTCATTTAGTGCAAGGGACTTCTTGTTCTATTGTGAAGACCTCCTGGAATGTCTTGTCGAGTTCTTCACACACCACCTTGTCATTCTCTGTGTATCTGTTCTCCCCTTTTCTGTTTCATCACTTGTTCCTTCACTGCAGTTTTCCTCCTGTGGAGCAGTTTTGGTTGGGTCTTGGCTTTACTCACAATGTCATTTTCATATTGTCTCTGCTTCTCTCCTCACTCTTGAGGTACTTATTTCTGGCCTTTTTTCTTTTTGACACACACATAAAAAAATATAGGAAACATCACCACTTTCCTCTCTTGATATATGTGGGTTGGCTCTAATGTTCAGCCACATTATTGTAGCTTACTGTTTGCATTGTTCTCTCGTCCTGTAATACAGGTAACAAAAAGTTAATCACTGCAAAACATCAAAACTTTGGTTTAATTTTTTGAAAGAGTCATCAGCTGGGCTAAAAATTTGCCAATTGAGAAAATTGTGAGCTTCAAAACTGATGCTCAGATTTTTTGTTATATATATTGTTGTGAAGACAGTTTACATTTAAAAATTAAATTCTCTAATTATATGTATAGTATACATTAATTTCCTCTTTTCATGTACTGCATTTAAATAATTTCAGGCATGTATGGTGGAAGGGGAAAACGAAGATGATCCATCACAAGAAACAATTACTTTCCTTTACAAATTTGCTAAAGGTGCATGCCCAAAATCCTATGGGTTCAATGCTGCACGTTTGGCTGACCTACCTGAAGAAGTTATACGCCGGGGTAGTCAGAAAGCATGCGACTTTGAGAAATTCAACCTTAAAAAGCAAACTTTTTCAAAGGTATTCAAAACAAAGTTTCAAATGAAAAACTTAAGAGAAACTGTTCAGAAGATTCGTAATTTGCAGTGAGGCTCTGCAAATTATGCTTCAGAAATATTAAATACTGTAAGTGAATTCACTTTAGGGACCTGCAAAATACTTTGCTAATTCTGTAAAGGAAAAACGTGTAAATAGATTTAACAGAACGAGCCCATAACATTGTAAGGCTAGGATGTATAATTGTATGGCATTAAGTTTATTACAATTATATTATGAACCAACAGTGGAAAATATAGCACCTTTATACTACAGAATGTCTTAGTAAGGCATGTTTCAGTTAAGGATGGCACAGGTTCTTTCAGTATTGTACTCTTATAACATTTTATGATGAAATAAGAACGGGTTATCAGCTATAAAGCATTGAAGTACATAATGAATTGTGCTGGAAAAGCTGAAGTAAGAATAACATGAAATTGTAGTACAGTATTATATGAGGGCAGAGACATTCGAGGAGGACATGTTGAGGTACCTTACCCTGTGGTTATCTTGTGATGGTTTCGGGGCTTTGCATCCCCGTGGTCCGGTCTTCACCCAGACCTCCTCGTTGCTGGACTGGTCAACCAGGCTGTTGGACGCGTTTGCTCGCAGCCTGACGTATTAATCAGTCTGGGTGATCAGGTATCCTTTGGAGGTGTTTAGAGAGTTCTCTTTTGAACACTGCAAGGGGTTGGTCAGTTATACCCCTTATGTCTAGTGGAAGCGTGTTGAACAGTCTCTAGCCTCTGATGTTGATAAAGATCTCTCTGGGTACCTATTGCATCTTTATTTTTCAAAGGGTGGGTATTCTGCACATCGTGCCATGCTTTCTGGTCTCATGTGGTGTTTTTTTGTGTGTGCAGGTTTGGGACCAGCCTCTCTACTATTTTCCAAGTGTAAATGTACAGTATGTGGTAAGTACTGTATGGTATAGAGATTGAAATGAGATCATGACAGATGGAGGTGGTAAGGCAAAAATAAGCTGAAATGATGTGTGCTAAAGACATTCCAGGATGGTGACCAAACCACACATCAGGAAACGAAGAAACAATAACGTTTCGGTCCGTCATGGACTATTATCAAGTCGTGTGATAGAAGAGAGGAAATGACAGATAAATAAATAAGGTAAGAGTGTGAGATGAGAGGTGAGGAGAAGGTAAGAATAGAATGAGAGGAAGATAAGAATATAGTTAGATTAAAGGTAAGAGAAAGGGGCAAAACTCAAGTCAGATCAGGTTTGTTAAGAAGGCTGGAGTATCTAAGAATGTACTGTGAAAGGGAAGAGTCAACAGCAACAAAGCCAGGACTAAGGTTCATGTTGGGCATGCTGTGTATCAGAGCCGATTCATCAAGACTGCTCTGATACACAACATGCCCAACATGAACCTTAGTCCTGGCTTTGTTGCTGTTGACCCTTTCCCTTCACAGTACATACAGTACTTAAATACTCCAGCCTTCTTAACAAACATGATCTGACTTAAGGTTTGCCAATTTCTCTTTTTAGTACCACATTTTATTCTTTTCCCATTATTATTACCCCTCCACTTTCCTCTCTTCTATCACGATTTGATAATCATCCAGGATGAACCAAAATGTCATTTCTTAGTTTTTCTGAGGTGTAGTTTTAGGGAAACATTTGTTTGCAATGCTCAATAAAGGAGACTATCAAGATCAAATCTCCCTTCTAAGTGATTAATTCAATTGTTAGTTTCCAGTTCCTACAGAAGATAGAATGAGCTACATGCATGATTTTTCTTGGAATGAGCTAGTACATGAAGACCAAACCACACACCAGAAGATGGAGAACTGATGTTTCGGTCCATCCTGGACCATTATCAGGTTGTACGAATCCAGGACCGGCCAAAACGTCATCGTTTCTTCTTCTTTTGATGTATGGTTTGGTCATCATATCTTCAGCCACGTTGTTGTTACTCGTCGTCTGCAGCTATTACATGATTTTTGACAATTGTACAGAATGTGTGCTTGCCTGCTTCTAGAACGAGAGATGTGCACACAAATCGTTCTCTAAGTACCACGAGCAAGGATGGTGAGTGACTACAAACAGTAGGGAAAATTAACTTTCTGTTAAGAAAGGGGATATGAAAACAAAAATGCCATTTAGTATAATTAAATCTGTGCTGTATATGCAATATAGACAATTTAAAGTAATTCATATTATTTATGTGTTCCAGTACTGTTGTATAGATGTTTGCATGCTTATGTAACTCATTTATAACTGCATGTTATAGTTAATCCTTAGTTATGATGTTAAACTAACGTTCTCGGGTATTAAATTCTTCAGTACAATACTGCATTAACCTTTTAAGACCTGCCATATTCTTTGTTGTGACCATCTAATTTAATTGCCAACTTAAGGTGTATTAAAAATTTATTGAGAATTATAGAAAAAAATTGTCTGTAATGAAAGTATTTCTCTGAAGGTAATGTGAATTTACAGATTATAAAAAGTTATAAATTGACCATTTAACATACTTTTCTTTCTTTCCCATTATATCAGTTTCATATTATGGAAGGCAAAACAAATCATTATTGATCGTATAATTACAGTACTTTGAAAATTGGCTTCAGATTTTTAACTTATGGCATCCAGTTTTCTTGTCCTGCAATTGACAGCAGAAATGTCAGCAGTTTTTCTGAAGATGCAATAAAATAGCTTTTATGTATATTTTTGGCTGTTTCAGTCCTACTAGGAATAGACCCTCCAAAAATAGTGGTGGTGACCAAAGGGTTAATGCAAGCAAAACATGGAAAGACAGACCATCGCCTGTACAGATTTACATTAGCAATGAGTGACTTAGGGTTGTAATATATATAATTTTGGATGACAACATTCAAAGGGTGGTGTGGTTTTTTTATGTTTATTTAATATAGTCTCAGTTACAGCAGTCAGACATTTGAAATTAAATGACGTGTCCTGATAGGTTGAGATGAGGATGCTTGTTATGTGCTTGCTTGCACTCAGGTAGGACATAATGTTGTCAGTGGCTGGAGACAGAGAGCTTGAAGGTGGGAGTGTGTAGAGTTCAAATGAGGGACCAGAGAGCTTTAGTATGGTGGGAGAGCAGGTAGCTTGAATAAGGCCAGAATTGGCTATTTGCTCAGTAGCGAGGCTATATCGTCTTGTCCGAGAGTTGGAACTAGACTTGGTGCTACATAGTTTGCTGATGACTGTTGATGGCACTGGAGAATATCTGCGGTATATCCTGAGTCACTGAACCATTATTGGAGTTAGATTGACGATGCTACTTTCTTGACAGCATATTGTGACGATAATCTCCTTCAAGAGATTGAGCCTGCTCTTCCCTCCAAAATTACGTCTTCACAATTATATAAAAAGACTATGGAAGAAATGTCCAACAACGACAACAACAAACACCAGCAAGGCTTGCAAGGGTGAGCAGAAACGTATGCAGCCCGCCACCTGTTCGGACCCAAATCACCAAACTACCCGTTGATCGCTACGGCTCCGCTGATTGGTCGCCGGTCTGGCTGCACCTGCACTCGCCCCCCAATACTACCTGATGTCTGGGGTCGCCCCAACATCAGTCTTCAGAATGTTCCGTGCTTTTGTAGCCAGCACACCTCCCAGCTAGACTCTAGAGTGTACTGAGAGAGGTGGTGGCTTTAAGCCAATATTCCAGCACCTCCCACTTACTGTTGTATTGCACTTCTTGTTATTTTGCCTTAACGTAACTTTTCATTTTGTCATTTAAGTATTCTTATTCTTTTGATTCATTGATTTTATTATAAGAATTTGTTTGTGCATTATTTTCATGTTTTGATTTATTTAACGTAATTAAAATTTCATTGTTAAAGTTTACTTGTGTTTTGTGTGTCTTCTCCTTACCTTACCACAGACGAAGTTCCAGTTTTTCTATTTTTTTATAACTATGTGACGAGGCCATACCCCTAGCCTTAAACAGCCGAACACCAACGCGTTACCGTCACAAGTTATATGGGGGCCTGTCCTAGGAGCCTCACTCAGGTACTGGTGCCAAGTGGTAATTTATGGTAAGCGTATTTAACTCTGTTAACGTAGCTTTACTATTTTTCATTCAATTTCATTTTTTATAAGGTGCGGTGTATTGTGCATTACGAGAGTAACATATAGTGAAGGTGAGACAACTTTGGATTACGTGGTGACTGTAGGCCTCAGTCATACTCTTAATTGGTCATCTCTCCCTCCATGTTATTACTCGTATTTACCATCTATGTCCCTTGAATATTTCTCATTCTGACAGATCATCATATTGGTACCCTGGTACTGTGGTCTGCCCCGGGTCAAGAGTACCCAATCTTCTGCAATCTGACTGTAGGAGGACAAAGAGGGCCATAGTTCCTCTAGCTCGAACTTTAGTTGCTGAATTGGGACCTCAGCAGCAGTTCTCGTCACCAGTTGACACCTCGCACCCCTACACGTCAGTCAGAGATGATGATACATACAACGGTAGGGAATTAGCTTATTTTTTCAGAGCACAAAAGTTCGCTAATTCTGTAAGTATCATATTAAATTCAGTGGGAAAAACTTGCTTTATGTCCTATAGAGACTTGGCAAGGTATGCCTACATCCTTGGACTACCAATTTTACTTTTGAAGCATTTAACTGTTTCATTTGTTTTCGAAACTTTGTTTCATTTGTTAGTAGGATTTTCTTGCCCTTATTCTCTTACATGAGTACCGGGTACAAGATTTCCTGCGCCCTTGATTTAATTTAATCATTTAATATCTTTCACTTAACGTTAATTGTTAAAGATCACACAGGATAGGTACCAGTTGCCACGTTGTCCTGTTTCTGACATTTCATTATTGAATATTCGTGTACCTTTATTTGCTAATTTCACCATGTTTCGTCTCCAAACTTTCCGTGCAAATCCAGCAGGTGAAATAGGGACTTTAAGTCGTGCCAAGAGGACTGAACTACAAACTCTTGCACATGAGTATCAACTAGAAGTTCCCTACCAAGCCAACAAAAATGACCTACACAACCTGTTGCTGGATTACTATTTAGAGCAAGGTAAGATAGACTCTGAAACTCATGAAACTTACTATATTGCAGAGAAAACTGACTTGGCAACGATGAAACTTAAACTAGAGCTGGCCAAGATTGAACGTGAGCAGCAAAGAGAAGCAGCTGCCATACGAAGAGAAGAACAAGAACGCGAAGCTGCTTTGAGGAGGGAAGAACAAGAACGAGAAATCACCCTCAGAGAACGTGAAGCTGCCTTGAGGAGAGACGAACAAGAACGTGAGGTTGCACTACTCCAGGAGCGGGAACGAGTACAGCTTGAAACCAAACGACGCGAGTTGGAGATGCAACGCGAACATGACAAGCAACAAGCGACTCTGGCTCTAGAGTGTCGTCAACGCGAAATCTCCTTGGAAACTTCACACTTCACTCAACGCCAACAAGCTACTGCCAATCTTCCCGTCAGTTTTAATATATCACATGCAAGTAAGTTAATGCCATCCTTTGTAGAAGCAGAAGTTGATGTGTTCTTTACCACCTTTGAAACCCTTGCTAATCAACTCAGTTGGCCTGTCGACCAATGGGCAACACTTCTCAGAGTCCATCTTACAGGTAGAGCTGCAGTCACACTCAGTACTTTGGCGTCTGAGAATGACTACTACACTCTGAAACAAGCAGTGTTAGACGCCTACCTACTTTCCACCGAAAGTTATAGAAGGAAATTCCGTGACCACCTGAAGGCAAGTACCACTACCTTCCTCGAGTTTGCTAACACGAAACGGAGGTATTTCATGAAATGGCTGGAAGCAGCACATGTCTCTACTTTTACAGAACTCGTCAACCTGATGCTTGTTGAAGAATTCTTGAGACGTGTGCCGCCTCCTGTCCGCCTCTACTTAGCAGATAAAGAAGAAACCGACTACCTGAAGTGTGCTAAGTCGGCTGACACTTACAGCCTCATCCACCGGCTGACACCTGAACCATCCTCCAGTAAGAAGTCGTGGTACAGTTACGAGAAGGTGAGCCCCGATCAAGCTGGTTCACAACTGTACTGCAAGTATTGTAGACTCTATGGACATACCATAGACAAGTGTGGTAAGTCTCAATACAAGGGAACCACTGACCAACAACGACCCAAACCAACTCCTCCTAAGTCCGGTAAGCCTGTGATGAATGTTGGTGTTGATGTTAATGATCTTTCTCTTTTCAGTAACCACCTGTATACTGGAACTGTCTCTGCCAACGGTTCAAATCCGGAGGGACGTTTCAAATTGAAGATCTTGAGGGACACAGCGGCTCTACAATCGATCATCTTGAAGTCGGCTGTGCCCAACATAGTCTACACCGGGGAAACGGTCTTCATCACTGACCTCACTGCTACTACTCCATACCCTCTCGCCAGAGTCCACCTGGATTGTCCCTACGTGAACGGGGAAGTCCAAGTCGCCGTCAGGGAAAAGCCCTTTCCCATGCCTGGAGTGCAACTTCTCCTAGGCAACGACTTGGCAGAAGACCTGCAACCAACCAACCTGATCGTCATGGACAAACCCCAGGTGTGTAACTCTGTGCCAAGTAACCCTATTCTTGAGTATGTTCCAGCAGAGGTTCAAGAGAGTGATGATGTTTCTCCTCCGGTTCTCGTGACCACCCGTGCACAAGCCGCACGTCCACAGCCAGCTGACTCTACTGCTACCGCTGTCCCTCAAGACCCTCAGAAACTACCCCCGCATCTGACCAAGTTGGAGTTCCGTAAGTTGCAGAGGGAAGATCTTACTTTAACACCATTGTTTTTCCAGGCTGAGACTCAACCCGACAGTATTCCTGGGTTCTTCCTAGAGAACGACTTGCTCTACCGCCGATATAGACCCAGTAAACTGAAGGAGGAGGACGATTGGGCCAACACCGAACAACTTGTGATTCCCACCAGCCTGCGGCCCACTATTCTACACCTGGCCCATGGAGCATTCTCCCACTACGGCTTCAACAAGACTTACCATGGGATTCGTCAAGACTACTACTGGCCAGGTATGGTAAACAACGTCAAACAGTACGTAAAACAGTGTCATACATGTCAGATGGCAGGCAAACCGAACGTCTCCATTCCCAGAGCACCACTGATTCCCATACAGGTGCCTGCGGAACCTTTCCACAGACTCATAATAGACTGTGTTGGTCCTTTACCTCGGACCAGTTCAGGTAACGCCTACATCCTAACCATCCTGTGTCCTACCACCAGATTTCCCATAGCAGTTCCAGTGAAGAACATCACGGCTGCTACGGTTATCAAACATCTATTGAAGATCTTCACTCAATACGGATTTCCCAGGGAGATTCAAAGTGACTGTGGCACCAACTTCACCAGTGATCTCTTCAAAAGGACACTGGAGGAGTTCAACATCAAACAGGTATTGTCCAGCCCCTATCATCCTGCTTCACAGGGTTCTCTTGAACGTAGTCATCAGACCATCAAAGCACTCTTGAAAAAGTTTTGTAGTGAA